ACTGCCTTGGTAGTATAATCATACTTTTGAAAACTTCCTAGTTTTAGTGCTCTGCATAGACTGGTGTGAAAAGTGGGTATCCTTGACACTCAGCAAATAAATGTTTTATACTTTCATTTATCAAATTGGCTTCTTCAACTCTGCCTATAAGATCGCAGTGGGAATTCAAAAGGACCAGGTCTGAAATAATCCTGTAGCTACTTACAGAAAAGCCCTATGCTCTTTAAGTCTCTGATGCTTTCAATGGAAATGCACCTTTAGATTTTAAGGATCCCTACCCAGCACCACCATCTTGTCCAATTATGATCAGTTCTAGCTTCAAAAGGACCAAGATGTTAACCGCGAAATGCCAGACTGGAAGCTTCAAAGCAGCAGTTCACAAACCAGTGGGTGATGTCACAGATCATATATCCAGTTGAGATATTTAACACCGCAAGGCATTATATATATATATATAAAAAAAACAACAAAAAAAACAATACAAGCAAACAACCACACCAAAAAATAAAAAGAACAAGCAAATGCTTAAATCATGACCTATACAGATTTATTTGGATATTAATCTGCAAATTGCATTTAACATAAAAGGTAATGATTCAGGGAAAAGGGAATCATCCTGATTGCTTTTTGGGTTTTATTTGTTTTCAGAATGGTTGTTGTAATTGTTGATGAAATAGTGAAAGTATCTCTGTCTGTTTCATTCCCTGTATCTCTTTTTTTGTTAGATGTAATCTTTTTGTAATCCGGTAAGGATTTTTTAATTGCCTGAAATTTTGTTATTTCTCATGCATTGAAAACAATGTTTCCTGAAAGTTTGTGCACACAGAGATTGCACATAAGATACTATAAACCGATAACCAGGAATGGCATGAAATACACAATAACTGTCTTGATGCTGCACAGGAAATGAAAGAAGGTCATAAACACAGTAATCATAGCAAAGAGCGAACCTCATTAATGCATGAGGAGCCTTGGACAATACCTTCAATGAAGTCTGAAGTGATGTTGACAGCGGTGAAGTGATTGGATGAGATGCAGACCAGTGAGTGGCCAAAGCACACGCATTGCTGACAGCCTTCTGGGTTTATTTGCTCTAAATTGAAGAACCCTGGCTTGCATCTGCAGGTAGAAATACACAGAAACACACAAAAGAGAGGTTTTAGCATGCATATACAGCACACATGCTCGATTTGCAGAAATTCACCACAGCCATGCTGCATTGTTACTCTCACCGTCCTTCTATTTGAACCATAGTGGTGGTGGCTGCTGCATAATGAAGCAATGAGGAAAAAAACAGGGAAGAACTGAATTCAGCTGTGAGGACTCTTAGCACTGACCTATGCATATTTACTGGCATATGGGTGGGACAGGAACACGACTAAAAACCAGCAACTACACAAGTTGCATTACACAGGAGAGCGACTTGTTCAATGAGCTGTGAAATCACTAAAAAGAAAGAAAAAAAAGTCAACAAACACACAGCTGAGAATTCAGTGCTGGGAGACCTGGTGCTGTAAGTATTTCTACAAACACAGGAATAGTTTCAGTTTGATCCCGTCCCCTAAAGGGATGTAACGGAAAAGCTAACAGTGTTGTTAACTCTACTACTAGTCGAAATGAGTGAGACCCTTCAAAAGTAAAGCAATCTTCTGACAAATGACTCTTAAACCTCTTCCTTCTGTAATCTCTGCTGGATATGCTGAGCTGGTTGCAGGGGAATTCTGTTATCTTGCCTACCATTTAACAAAAAGGTAGAATCTACTATGACTTCAGGTGTTGCATGGTGCAGGATTCGGCAAAAACAGTTCACATGGGCACATATGTGACAGAAGCAAACCATCTTTTTACCCACCTATCGCATCTCTGTCCCTCCACGTTTGTCTTACAATGACAACGTCCATCAACTGGAGAGCAGCTACCCATGCTCCCGCTGGGGTCGCAGTCACACGGCCTGCAGACACAAGTGAAATGATGATGCCTTCGACAGAAAGTGTGTATGCGACACCTGATGATGTTAATACGGAGTGAGGAAAGATATTGCAGGAATAGGACTTTGAAATAAGCAACTTCCTGTGGGAAATCAATAGATAATCCCACTCAGTCATCTGCAGTGATAAATGTGTGTGGAGCAATATCTGTCTCCAGGATTCTCTTCTTGTTTGTGTGATGCATTTTACCAGCAACTTTTTCAGGATGTAAGATATTCAAACCATTCACATACAAACACTTTGTACATACAACACCCCTGCCAAGAAGCTGCATCTATATTTTGCCAGTTCAAATTAAAATGAAACCCAAATGTCAATGTTAAATTTAGAGGCACCAATCTCAGATGAAACCTGCGCTTTCTTGTAAACCAAGACAGTAGGTGCTGGGCCAAAAATGTTCATAAACCATGACATAAAACCCCCCAAAACTGAACAAAAAAAGGCATGCACACTGAAGGGTTCCTCCCATGGGCTTGCACTCCATTGTATGAAACACAGAGGCTGTATAAACAACCTGGATAAAAGAAAGTGAGTAGATATGGGTCAGCAACAACATGGATTATGTCAAAATCTGTTTGATCATGTTTATTGATTGATTAGTTTTGTTTCAGACTCGAACACAGAGTCTATTTTTAATGAGGCACTATTACAAATAATTCAATTATCCCATGGCAAGCTGCCTCTACTTGTTTCTGCTCTACTGGTCTGAGTAATTCACACCTCTACTCAACAGCTCACAGCTTCTTGCACGAATGACAGAGAGCAATGTGTGTGTCTGTGTGCATGTGTGCGTGTGTGTGTGCAGTCATGCGGGCATTTGTGCATGAGCATATTGATAGAATTTTGATTGACAGTTGCTCATTTTTGTAAACAACTTCCGTTATTAACGTAAATCTTTGCTCTACACATTTATTAGTATCCTGTGTAAAATAAAGCCAAATACTTTCCAAAAGTTCTAAAGTAGTTGTCAGTTAAATATAGAAATTGTCTTTTTTTGACCAAATTGGGAAGCTAGTAAAAAAGTTGTATCGCTACAAAATAGTTAACACTGGTTAAATATTTACTACATTAACACTTCAATCGTCAATTAGAGTGCATGTGAAGGTTTGCTTAGAAGAAATGATTGGCAGGTATGATTTCCTAATGGAATCTGTACATGAAGTAGCTCAGGTGACGACAAGCTAAGAAGCCACAGCACAGGCCAGGCAATCAAAGCAAATAGCGTTTAGCTCTGCAGAGGTGGAAAATAAATAAGGGAAATCTGTTAATTTATCTTTAAACCATCACTTCAAATAACCTATTCGATATAGCCAGAAATGAGATCTACTTCTTTCAGATCAATCAATCTGAAAAGTGTCCAGTCACACTTGCTTGTTGTCATTGTATGTAGTAATAATCTAACAGCATCTAACAATAATTAATATTCAATTCAACACTAAAACAACTTAGCATTCCCCTGATTGGAAGAGAGGGTCAGTGAGAGTCTCTTTGGGAATATGAATATGATATTATCCCTCTACATCTTCATGCAGGTTCACACGCACTTTTCCGTGTCAGGGCATCGAAGTCAAACAAAGATGAAATGCAACTTTTATCATCTGAATGTATGCAGACAGTTAATACATCTGAAAGCTGCAGCAAGAATACAGTCAGATTGTCTCTCATCTCAAGAAAGAAACCAGCTTTGCGTATCTCAAAATGATTTGAACCCTTTGAGCTTTGTCTGGTGTCATCCCGAAATGATCCACATCAGAGCAGATGCATTTTCAGGGTTGCCAACCGAGTACATTTGCAATATTTAATCAATCTGACAATCAAATATCTGCTTTTATAGCCTCTCAATAAGGCCTTTAATGAAATGGAGACAGGAAATACTAAACTATGAACTGATAAGTAGCCAGGAAAAAGATGAATGCCCATTAATGCCTGTCCACACTATGACATTAATACTTGAAGTACTTTAGGCAAAAGTTATTCATCTAAAACTGTTTTCTGAAGTTTCTGAGTGCAGTCTGACTGGATCTGGTTGCCATGTTCACAAATGGAGAAGACTGCGTGGTCTAGTGAATACTGTTGAAAGTTCAAACACAAAATCTGTCGTCCTGATGTCTGGGTGGCTGTGCCACCAGCTAACACAGACCATATGCAACACAGGACAATTCAATACACATATGGTATCCACAAATATCAGCCGTAACTTCTCTATTAACTATAAGATAACAAAAGGCTCAATAAGATATTGATGAGCCATCCGTACTGAAAATATTTTAAGGGAAAACAGAACAAAAACAAGCAAAAAACATAAATGTAAAAGGGTTTGTCTTCACTGAACCGAAATTGATGAACAGAGCTGGTTCAAATGAGAAGCTGCCCCTTGAATGTTTCGCAAATGAGAAAGGAGTTGAAGTAAAGGACTTGTGGAAGTGGATAAACAGAGTGATTGGTGTGGTGCAGAACATTTGAAATATTCATGAACAGGTAACATTGTCATTCTTGTCTTGTTTTAGGCAGCTTGAACAATCCACTCATCCCTCTTTGGGCCCATTTATCCATCCATCATCTATAGCGCCTATTGCTAGTGGACAAGTGACCTGACCAACACAGGGCCATGCAGAGATGGAGGCAGGACATTGCAGACATTACAGGCTTGCTCTACGTGTGATGTTTGCTAGTCTTATTTGGGTAGAGTATCTTTAATTAGTCAGATAGCTGGAATAAAAAATCTGAAGTGCTGCATAATCGCTAGCAGACTTTTGACAGATCCGGGTTCTTTAGATAGAGAATTTAGATTTTCACACCTGTTTGTCCTTCTAACAAGGAATTAATTTGAGTCTACTTTTACCTTCATACACCTAGAATCCAGGAGATTTTACCATGAAAGTGTAAATGCTTTGGTTGTAGGTTTTTAATAGGTTATCAATGCTTTTACAGAATACTTGTCTCATCAGGTGCATCCTTAAATCTGTCTCCATCCTGTTCTTTTTCCACCATGTGTTTATCCGTGCATGTTGCTCACCTGCACCCTGCAGGTCCAAGAGAATGGAAGTCAGCCTGGCACGCGTCGCACTTCTCCCCTGTGACACCGAGACGACACACACACCTTCCCTCTGCATCGCACTGCAGACTCACTGAGCCTGAGAGGAGCAGCGGACGGATTGGGCGGCAACAAAAGAAGAACATGGGGTTGGGTGGATCAATCGAGGTTATTGGTTATCACAGTACATGAGATGGATCAATGGTTTCATTAATTGTCAGACACTGTTGGGATACCGTGATACCCTGTTGTTGAACGCCTGCTCCAAAAACTGCGAAAATAAGCTTGGAAGGATCTTATCTCACAGCAACTTTCTAACTGATATAGTGCAGCTTTAGTTAATGGAGAAAAAAGAGCAGTTGGGGCAAAAAGAGGAGAGAAACGAAAGGCTGATATAACTTTTGATCGATTTAATGGACTCCTACAGCTCTGTTCAGCCCCTTCCTGGATCTAAATGGCAGGGTAAAGACAATGGATGCCTCTCCTAAGATCCCCATGATTCTCATTATCTTGATGATGGCCAAACATTTAAGGCGTACACACCTCACATCACGCATTGCTCTCTCTCTATCGAAGATGTTCAGTAAGTCAACTGGATTAATTCACAACAGCTTGGTTTAGGGTAGTTATGGATTTCTTTAATGATCAAGCCATCGTAGATAATATGAGGTGTTCAAGACTTTACATGAACAGGATTGGAGGAAATTATGAAATGAGATTTCATTTTCAGTCAGGGTTTGTCATCTGTGGGATGGAGGAAATATCAATTCAGTGTTATTAAACATACTGTCCATACAATTTGCAAAAAATTAATCCTCAGAGTCCTGTGGCTACATCCTGCATGTGGTTTCTCATTGTGTCGGGACAGATTTCCAATTTAACCGTGATTGAATTTTTTCTCATGCGAGAGAAAAACAAAAGCAGCGGATAATGATGTCTTCGTGGATTTTAATTGGGGTTTAAGTTATTATCAAATCAATTAAGGGGTTTTTATGTCTGGGGCTTACCATTGATATTGCAGTCGCAGGGTAGGCAGGGCTGGTTCGGAGCGTTCCTGTGGTGGTTATCTGCGCAGCGCTCACAGTGGGGCCCGTCGGTGTTGTCTCTGCAGCTCACACAGCGCCCCCCACTGCCGGTGCCTCTGTACTGCTCCACGTCAAACACACACTCCTCTGACCTCCCACTGCAGTTACACCCTGAGAGCCATAGGCAAAAAAAAAGACATGAGGCAAAGCAGACAAGAAGCCAGGTGAGGACAGATCGAGAAGCGGCTACGGCGGAAGAGGAACACTTTGATTAGAAAGCAAAAAAAAAAGTGAAAAATTGAATCGACGGAAATAGATTAAACGCAGGGACACACAGAGTATATGTGCGAGAGAGATTATGTGTGCTGGGATTGGATCATAATTTAGAGGCTCATTGCTAATCTCATTTCACACAGGCCTAATGAGGAGCCAATCGGCTGTCAGGGGGCACTTAGATAACAGCAATTCATGTTTATACAAGAGCGAATTACTCAGCTGATAACACACCATCACAGCCTTCATGCCCCTAATATCGAATCTCTCTTAGTTTACCAGTTACCCTGAAGGGGGACTTAGGTGAAATTGCCTATTTTATTATATATAAAGCTCCCTGTTGTGTGAACTTATGACACGATTTCTCTTTCCTTTTAATAAGAAGTCCCAGCACTATACACCCTGTTTAATCAGTTGCTTTGAAACATTCCATAAAAGGAAAATTTGGTTCAGAATTAAAATCTTAAAACATTTGGCCGATTACCATGTTGCCATCCATTTGTATGTCCTTTAAACTGGTAGGAATTTACCTCGTACTGAATTGAAGATCTTGTAAAGAGCGCTGGAAATAACTAACACCATTTTCTGCCATCTTCTTTGAAGCTGAGGCTGTAAACTGTTGGGTAAGAGGCAGGGTACAGCCTTTATATGTCAATCTATCACAGGCCAACTGAGATACGTATGTAGATGCTTGGGTATGAACCTGATCTGCTATGTTTGACTACTTTGTCAATAAGATAATTGTTTAACAGTCCGTTTCCTCCCATTTTGGTGCCAGAGAGTGAATTATACACAGGCAAGTGCGGACATAGAGCGGTAGTAAACCAAAATCTTTCAGGTTTTTCAGTATGAATAAATAACTTGGTGTGAAGTTTAGCAACTTATGATAACTATCTTTTTCTCCAACTTGGCCCTTTTTTAAAGCAGGTGTAGGGACAACATGATCTATTTTACAGGATACAATACCTTCCTGTTTTTCCAATTTTTTGAGAGCCTCATTAAATGTTGATGCGATCGAACTAAAGCTGTAACTATGCTTACGTTTTTTTTAAAGAAAATTATGTCACAGGTCTTTTCATTGCAACTTGTTTTAGGACATTAAGAATGTAGATTTGCTTTGTGCCCCAGTGTGAAAGATGGAGGGATAAAACAGAATGGACGTGTCTCTGGCTACCTGCAGCTGATTTTATGGGTTGAGGTGAGCAAATTTTGGCATAAATACGGTTCCATGGTCACTTATGCCCACGCTGAAGATATTGCTATTTCTTTTCCCCACTTCAAATTTCAGCCAATCAAAGAAAATACCCTAGCTGAGGATCTGAGCATTAAAAAAGCATCGCATGACATAATGCAAGTGAAACCTTCAGCCAATACAGTCAGAATCGTGTCATAATAACCCCTAACCCTAACCCTAACGTTAACCCTCCAAGGTACAGTAGCTGCTGAGGGACACTCTTTATTAATTGAATACCTATCTAATATTTTCACCCTTTCACAACTTCTCAAGCAGTTTTTAGGGGTAAGGAATAATGATAGCTCGGAGTATTTGATCTTAACTGGTGATGCCAGCCCTCCCTTCGTCCTCCTTTTAAGGACCTGACCTGTTTTTTACTCATAAGTAAAATATTGCTTTAGCAGTTAAAATGACATATTGCTAAATGTTGCATAGTTACTTCTGTTAGGTCACTGCCTGCTCTTTCTGTATGTTGTTTGGACAGCTGTCTAGAGTGATTATAACATTACTAACAGGTTCATTTACATTTTTAATGCTTTAGTGTTTGTTGCCATTGGAGTTGACAACCAATTGGTGTCTTTGGGCTCGGTGAAAAAAAAGAAATGCTACGAAAGCCTTGCTTGTTTTCTAGAGATGCTTACGTTTGTCTTAAGCAATTGGGAAAACACTTATCAAGAAAAACAAAAAGTCTAACTTACAAAACTGCAAGTGGTATTCTCTCAACTGACTAACACACTACTGGTAACAAGGAACATGCAATCACACTGGTTAGGGGAGGATTGTGTGTGAGCCCACATCCTCCCACTCAGTTACTTCCTAATTGCTTTGAGCAGTAACTGGAGGTAAGGTGTTAGTATTTAGTAAAGATTCTAATTGAAAACAGTAGGGAGGCTGATAATTAAGTCACAATGTCTTGTTCTGCTTTTCCTACAAGTGCTAAATGCAAAAATTGAGACGTGTAGGTGCAATTCCTAAGGTGTTCTTCAAAGAAAACTTTGAGTTGTGCTGAATTTAACGAGTTATCACTTTGCTTTGAAATCATTACTCCAAGGGTGTAATTACTTTTTCTGTGAATATCTAGAAGTAATTGATGACAGCTGCCTGCTGTGTCTGAAAATTAAAGTTATAAGGGTTGTGGGAGATAGGATGGAAAGTTAACATGAAACATATCAAAATACTTCTCAGGCAAAGAAGAACTGCAGACTAATAATTCAGCATGTCTGTCTCATGACACACTGTGAAGATAAAATTGCAAACAACAGTTGGGAATAAAAACGATTCAGAAGTACTCCCTTTGCACAAGTGGGTTTTACAGCAAATATGCATCTTTTGACAGATCCTGAATCCTTTGCCATCACTTCTGCAGTCTTCCTGGTCATAGTGCAACCGAATCTGACAAACTGTCCTCCTCCGACGCTGAAAGTTAATGCATGATTCGATTCTGATTGGCACTGGTGGGCAGTTCGAGACTAAATTCCACCAGCTAGCTTTACTTGTCACCCTTCCCATCCACTCTATCTTTATCGTGCCAGCTTGAGGGGCTGCTGCTGGTGCCGGTCAGGAAAGCTGACAGCCAGGCGGCAGCACTATCAGCCCGAGCCTCTGACACATTCCTGCCAGTGGTACATTTCCATGTAGACTCTGACATAAATTGTGGTGCAATTTAGGAAGTCTGCTATCATATTAAAGTGAACGTATCATAGTAGAAGGCATTGGAATAAGTATGGCGACGACCTACGCTTTACTGTTCTTCTTTTAGGCCTTCAGAATCATCTAAATATGTTCCTTAACCCCAAACAAGCCTAAAGAAAGTTTGTTGAGCTTCTAATCTGTTAAAACAAGTTCAAACTGATATCTGTTAATCTGTAATCTCTTTGTCATTAATTTGGTTGGGTAACATTAATCGATTCTGTATACTGCTTAATTCCAGTAGGGTCATAGGGTGGGCTGCAGCCTATCCCAGCTGACATTGGGCAACAGGTGGGGTACACCCTTGACCGGTCACCAATCCATCACAGGGCCTCACATGGACGAACAACAACACACCCGCAATCAATCCCAAGGGCAATTTAGAGGGTCCAATTAACCTAAAATGCATGTTTTGGACGGTGGGAGGAAGCCAGAAGAGGGAGTTAATTGGATGACATAAACTGCAAACAGGTGTGTGATTGTAATTGATCTTGACGGTTTTGTGAAGTTAATTTGTTTTGGTTGTTTGTCCGGGTACAGTAACAGCCTGCGAAGCTGGCGATATATCGGCAGCGTCAATCGACTTTCCGCTCATCCATTTTCCCTAACTGCTTAATCCGCTTCAGAATCTCACAGGGGTTGACACCTATCACAGCTGTCATTGGGTTACACCGTCCTCACCAGTATATCAAAGGGCCTACACAGGAAATAGCAAGTAAAAATGGTCAAAGGTCAATTTGAAATCACTGTTAACCACTTGCATCCTTCTGGGGAGTAGGACGGAGACAGAGGCCCCAAAGTGAAACCGCCCATTTTCAGTGAAAACATGCACAGCCCACACAGAAAGGCCCAAACCAAAAATTAAACCAGGAACTCTAATGCTGTGAAGGAACACTTTTATACACCACAACCCCGTGCAGCTCAGTGTACATTATTTGTACTTCCATATTACAATCTACTTTCTTAAGGATAATATAAAAAAAAGAATTTGGTGGTATGATGATTTTTTTTGGTTTGTTGCAAAACTGGCTCAAGGCGTGCTTGATAACATTTACCAACTTTCTCGCAGCAGAGTTTTTCTCAAACATAGGTTTCCTGATGAAAATAAGTTTCGGTTTTGTATGTGCTAATGCGTACATGTGGTCATGACTCATTGAAGCCTCCCCAGACGTTAATCCAGTGATTATGGGAAATTTTGAAGGGATTCATCACCAGAATGAAGAAAAAAATAATTTAGGATCTTTTGAGGATACGTTTATTTCTACTAGAAACTTAAAGGGTCAAGGCCAAGGCATATAACGGTGTTCAATTGTTTTATCCCTGATGTGTTGGGAATGAAAACTGTTAATTAAGATTGGGCAAATTATGCACCACTGTTTCAAACATTTTTTACACAGATATCCCACACACGGCTTCCTGTAGCCTGCATTTGTCCATCCACACCACATTTACAGGTCTGCCCATCTACAACCACCTCTCAGACATGTTGAGTTCCTTAATCCTGTCCTGGGGACCACACAGCCTGTGAATCATTGACACTGTGGAGGTTGCATGCAAGTAACAAGGCATACACAGCTTGGAGCTCAGTGTGAAAATGCACTGCACAGTCATAAAACCATCTCCTCAAACAAGAGGCACGATGCAAGTTTGGATGACCGTCAGGGTGGAAACTTGAGGGAGTAAATGGAGAAAACATCAGAATAGAACAGTGTTGATTCCATTTAGGCATAAAATAAATAAATAAAAATCATTTTAATATTTATTCTGCTAAGTGTAGAGTGGTGTTTTTAATGTGTGATGATCCTCAATGCCTCTAACAATATTTAATCGTTTAAATAAAATCAAAATAATTAATATTAGTAAAAGTACATTGGATAGTTGACTTTCAACAGAAAGGTGTTCAATTAATGTTGATGCCTCAGATATTGTTATGACTGCCAAGATACTTTATAACAAAGTGCCTTTGAAAAACAGTTCTTGTGAAATAGAAACACTCCTTCTATAAACCCATAATCGTCTCCGTGCAATGTTTGAATAAATGCAGCTCT